CATGGAAGTGGCAGAACTCCAGCAGTTACAACAGAACAGGATGCTTATAATTGTATTTTCACTAGCAATACAACAGCAATAGAACAAAAATATCTTTCTGTAGTTCCTCTCAATATTTACCATTATATAAGCTCCACGTGGAACTTACAGAGTGCTCTAGCACCACTTGCCTAAGCATAGCTATTTTCATGTTTCAGTATCCGACCCTGCAAAGCTAAGTTTGGTATTCTAGAAACTTAAGAATGGTACTCAAAATAACTCTGAAGCTTTTATGATGTGATAAACAGGAGCTGAGGTAAGTGAGTTTCAGGTGACAAGCAGATGGTTTATGTTGCCCAGCTGCATTATCAGTTCTGCATTTAAATTCAGAGGTAAGCAATTAGATATTGAAAAGGGACTACACAAGCAGCATGATTATTTCCATGGGATCACCCAGCATCTGCTAATCTCCACAAAAGTTTCCACTGCAAGTGTTACAAGGTCCTGGACACTGGAATTTCTCCAGCATTACTTAACTGAGAGGCTAGAGTTTGAGCTCTGGAGGGGATAGAAGCAAGCACACTTTTTACAGAGCGTTTATTCTAGAGCAGGAGGAGCAGCAAGTAGACTGCCACACAATACTAACTTTTATTAAGCTTTGACCTGCTCAACTCCCATTGATCATTGGTTAGTAGTAGCATCCTCTTTTAGGACAGAGTGAAAGCTAAGACTTTCAACCTGTAAATAACTTGATGAAAAATTGCTGACTTTGTTTCTCATATCCTTGGCTCATGAGTTGAGGTATGCAGCAGCATATAAAATGGAGTGCATCACAGAAGAGACTGGTAGGCTCTAGTTCAGAGCAGACACTACCTAACAGGTCTAGCTTTGTGCCTCAGCATGTTTTAAAGTCAACTTGAGACCAGATGATGGTCAGAGAGGGAAAAATGGCTCTCTAGAAACTGTCAGTATAATCTAAGTGAGAGATTAATCGCATCTCCTTAACTGACTAATCTTCAGGAAGCTGAGGCAGATGTGTACACCCATGAATAAAAAGAGTACCTTGAATAACATCTAAAGCAAGCGCTACTGTGTATCCCACACTCTTACTCCCCCTGCAAGTGCACTTGCACACACATTGACCAATAAGCTCTACAAATACTTTGTCAGCACTGTTCAGATACAAAAACTGCTCAACGCAAGCGATGTTTAGCATAAGTTTATTTGCACAAGAATTTCAGCATCATTTAAGTCCAAAACCCAATTTCCAAGAGTGACAAGTGAACACCACAGTGCAGAACAGTAGACAAAGCTACTGTGACCAGTCTCACATTTGGGCTCATCCAAGTATTTGTCGTACCTTGTTTTGCCAGCTTGGGGAAAAAAAAAAAAAAAAAAAAAGGTACTCACTTCTTCCAAAGAGATATGAGACAGATTTTCCAAGAGCTGACTTCTTTTAATAATAGTAAAAATTAATATAAGGAAAAACAAAGGACAAAGACCTTCTAAGTTTCAACAGAAAGTGCATTTTTAGTCGGAGAGACAAGCCCAATCCAGACACTTCAGTGAGTGGCTGCCTCTTCCAATACAAGTGAGAAAAATTAGAGTGCTCCAACCATTCCCAAGGCTTCTACAGCTATAGCCCAGCATCCCACCTTATCTCTAGTTTCACCAAAATTAAAGAACATATATGAAGTACATTTAACCATGTTGAGTAAGACTTAGATGCAAAGGCTAGAAGTTTTACTACTCATTTGGTTCTCCCAATGCCCAAATCAGACCAGGCTGCCAGTGACCGTGGTCAACTTACTGCTTATTCCTGTGCCTAACAGTTATGGCACCCTGACTAAGCTGAGTGAGAGGGATAGGAAACAAGTACCATCAGTACACTGACAGCTTAAAATTAAAGCAATTTGCCCAGGTTCTCTTCTAAGAGGCCTTTTCCCAACTATTCATATAGCGATAAGCAGAGATCACTTCCAACATCAATGGTGATTCTAGCAATCAGAAATCCACAAAGCCTAGGCACAAAAAATACCGAATGCTTAACCTCAGAACTCAAGTCCAAAATATCTGTTTTCAGTTTCAATGAAAACGTCAGATATTTGGACTAGATTTAAATACTACCTACTGCTTTGTAGAAGAGATGATTAATGTTAAAGCACAAGGATCTTTCGAAAAATGGTTATTTAGAAGCAAGCAGTAGTCTTCAACCTCCAACTTAGTGATTGATTGAACTAGTTGACTACAAACACAGAAACAACTAAATCTTGAGCTTAGGGAGTATAAAGTATGCTTTACCTTACAAATTGTCAGAGTGACCGTGGATCAGCACAGGGATCTTACTAAAGTGACTAAGAGCCAGTCTGCTACTAGGTCTCCTTGATAGCATCTCTATGAAATAAAAGTCTATCTTATGGTGAAGAAGTCACACAAATAAACTGCAAGTCAAAGGGAACTTGGCAACAAGTGCTGACAACAGATGCTTAAACCTCAAACTGGCTTTGTCCAGCAGTGCTTATAAGCTATGCAAAGAAAAACAGCTATTTTATAACAGTCTAGTTTAGAAGCCTGGTCCTGAGGAATGATGCACTGATACAAGACTTGCAGTCCAGTGTTACTGCACCTTTGTTTTAAGGTCAGTGCCCAGAAGGAATGTATCAAGGTAATAGTCTGAAGTATAGTAGTCTTTCTCTAACCTCCACTTGACGCACAAGGGGGCAAAAGAGCTTAGAACAGGTTTGCAGAGGTGTCATTAAGTGCTGAAGGGTGACTGAATCAAGCAGGCAGCCTAGACTGTCATGACTGAGGTCATCATTTACCTAGTGCTCATTGTCAAGTTACCCTTGCTACAGGGGTCACCGTAAACCTGAACCCAAACCAGCTAATGCACAGCAAACTAAGCCACTGCCACATGTACCATCAAGCCACTAGGACAACCTGAAACAGAAAGGGGTAGACTGCTTGCAACACAGTGATGAAGAGCTATCGAGTACACCAGCACTGCCTGCCAAACCAGGATTATTTTGAAGGCAAGGAGACAGTGTTCCAGCAATCCTTTGTACTCAGGGGGCAATGCAATAGGTAGTGTGCAGGTTCAGGATACAACTTAGCTATTCAAGAGCTTAATAGCTAACAGCTATTAAGTAATTGATCAGTATTTCTAATATGCCAGAGCATTTTAAGAAACAGACAGGGAACACAGCAGTTCTGCAAAGCTTAAGCCCAGGCAGTCAGCTGTTCAGAGAGCAGCCACTCACTGTGAAGCTTCCTTAGAGGCCTCGGCATCAAGTCACATCACCAAAAGCACAGTGGCAGGAAGCTTAACTTCTCCATAGCTCTATCTCACTAGGAATCCATTACAGCCTTTTTCATAGCATTTCCTTTTCTAGGAGATGCATCTGGCCTAATGTTCAGCAGCCAAGGCCTTCAATGACCAGTAAAACATAAGTCTGTGTTTCCAGCTTGGGAGGACTCCTCCTGAGCATCTCACCACTTCTTCCACATGAGATTATGCACAGAAACAGTTTCTAAAGATCAGCCAGGAGATCACACAAGATAGATACCTGAGCCTAAGTTATCTGATATGCAAATCAAACACCTCTCTAGGCAATGATTTACTTCTGCAATGGCTATAGCATAGGCTAGCTTTAAAAACATCTACACAAGAGATGGAGCAATTACAAACTCTTAAATCTTCTTTCTAGTGACACTCTATACTAGACCAAGTATTGCTTTGCATGCAGAAGTTATTCTTGCTAGGACTGCATTCCAGCGGTAAGCTTGCACCAAATTTAACGCACATGACAACACTGGCATCATGTTAGTTTTTAAAAAGTCAAAGTCTTGGGTGAGAGATATCTTGTCTGCAAGCTACACCAAGTCCAAGCCTGGGTTTGCTTTCAAGTTTAGCTACTTCGGCTGACAAATGGGGAAACCTTTAATGAAAAAAAGCCACAACATATTTCACCAAATTATTTGTATATTTGCTACTGAAGTTGCTTACAAAACCGTTACATATAGTCTGCTTTGTAGATTGCATCCCTCCCTGCCTTCCTAAGCTAAGTGAAAGTCTGAACGCAAGAGTAGCCTCGCTGCTCTATTGAGGCAGTGCTTATGAAGTAGTTATGAAAAGTGAGAGAACTTGCAATGTAACTAGAAACTTTTGGTCCTATGATGAACCAGCAGTTTTTACAGCCATTTAAGTGATGCGCTGCTGGTGTTTCCACCTTGTACAGCAATCCAACATTGATGCTGCTTTCTGCTTTACCTTTTAAGCTTAAATAATTTGTTTCATCAGGCACTTTGGTCTCACAAGCTTGCAGAAACAGCTAGAGGTAATAAAGATTCAGCAAGCAAGCATTCTTCAACATTGCACCAGTAAATAGCTCTAAAATTTGCCTTTCTAGTCTACCTCTCTGGTTAAGCAAAGGAAGTTCAAAATCATTTGCTATATGAATTTTACCATTGTAATTCAGTGAAAATCATCCAGTTAATATACCACTTTCTAACACCACTATATAAATAACTGGGGAACTTTTAGGCTTCTTTATAAAGCACAGGAGTCTCAAAGCAGCAAGTTCAGCACATACCCTTCAGGAAGGTCAGCCCTCTATCCCTCCAAGGGAGTGTATACTCTTCCAGAGACTACTTTGAAAACAGGCCCAGACTTTCAACATATACAGCTTCTGTGGTGAGCTCTGCTTAGGGTTTATTTATCCCTTCAAGTGAGGTTTAAGACCAGCAAAAAGCAAAAATTTAACTCTAACTGCTCAAAATACCATCTCATGCAGTGACCAGGTGATAGTGATAAACTTTAGGTGGTGACAGAAAGACAAGCCTTCAGGACCTGCCTGAAGTTGTACAGTAAGAAATTCATTTTAGGAGGCACTTTTGGAATTCATACTGTGGCAGGAATGCACATAACCCTGCAGCTCACAGTGTTTTGGGGTTGGGGTGGTTTTTTGCTGGGTTTTGTTTTGGTTGGGTTTTTTGAGGTTTGTGGGTTTTTTGTTTGTTTGTTTGGTTTGGTTTTTTGTTTGTTTTTTTTTTCTGTGGACCTGTGAAGAAGAAAATTGGGCCAAACTCAGTATAAGAGCTGTGTTACTTTCCAACTGTGCTAAAAACTGTTTTGAAGGATACAGTCAGAAAGGCTTTAGCTTGATCCTGGACTCAAGAGTACTTTTCCATCATAAATATTCAAACTGTGGTTTCAACTCTATTTAAAGCTTCAATTCATAATTTCAAGGACTTTTTGCATTGCCAAGTTTTAGATTGTGTTTTGGTACATGTTTAGAGATGCCACCTCCCAGATTTTGGTACTCAAGAAAAATTTAGCCAGCATATGCTTTAGAGATAGACTTAGGAATCCATCGTCAACTTCCAAGAAATTAATCTTGAACTTGAGGTGGGACCACATATCCATAGGTACTACAGGAAACAACATTTAGGCCCTCTACAAGACAGACAGTACCCATACTGTTACCACCTCTACACAGCCAGAAAGTAAAAGCAACCCAAGCATGACATGCACCCATTCTTTTAGTTTAGTCTATTAGTTCAATAGAAGTTTGGTCAGAACTTGAACTGAGGAAGAATAACTAGGTTATGCAATAGAAAGCAGAGTTTTGCTGCTACTCCAGGTGCAGCTTCCGCACAAGGCATTTTACTGTCATTAACTAACCCAGTTTACTGGATACTCCACTTAAATCACATCTGAATAGACACATCCAGAACTAGTACAGAGTTTCTTAACAATTCCTCTTAACATTTGGCTGCTGGTTCTCTTCTCCCAGTGAAGAGATAATAAGGCTTCTTGGCATTTGTAGAGATACACTGAAAGGTTCATAGCAGGTCATCTGGCTGCATAATCCCACTGCACACCAGAAATGGACAGTTCAATGCAGTCATGCTTCCATTAGAAAACATCCAACTGGCAGTTATTACTTATCTATATACACACACTCAGGATCTTGGCATTCAGTAGCCTCCATTCAGGAACACTCGAGTGAAGCCATCAATTGCAAGGCAACCAAGTGGGGTAGGACTGGCTGTACAGCACAGGAGCACTTGCGAGATAGTAGTTGCTGAAGTTTACATCACTAACATAAGGTGCTGGCTGGTAGTAACAGGTAACATTAGTGGCATTAGGGATGACATTTTGTTCTGCCAGTACTTTGAGTGCCAGCAGAGAAATCAAGTTGAGAGTCTGCCTTCGCTCATGTCCCATGAGACAGACTGTGCTCTCATTCACCACCCTGCGCAGAATCATGAGGTAGTCATATTTGCTCCTCTCTTCTTTGGAGAAGTGGTTCTGGAGGTAGGTCTCTAGCTTGCGCTGCTGGTCCAGGATGTCTGGGAAGTCTATGAAGAATCGGGAGCACATGTAGCGCTCTAAGGTTTTGATCTCATCCTTATCCATGGGCTTGAAGTCTCGTACTAAGAGGTTACTGTACTTCAGAAGCCCACCACCTCGGATCTCTTCAGGGTTTTTGGTAGCTATCAGTTTGTTCTGGAGGTGGTCAAAAGCTGCTTCAAAGTCTCCATACATGCTCTCCCCGATCACAGTTGGATGGAAGTGCTCTGACATGGGGGTTTCTGAGTAGTCGTAGTAAAAGAGCAGGGAGTCCAGTATGATTTGGAATGAGTCCACACTGAACTCAAACTGCCGTCGTATACAGTCTACAAACTTCAGCTCCACATTTCTGCCATGCTTGTTGGAAAGTGATATCAAGCTCCAACGGTCAGTCCCCGTGTACACTTTCACTAGCTTTTGGATGTAGGCTTCCTTCAGTGTTACAGGACTGATTTTTAGCTTGCTTACTCCTTCCGGCAAGAAATTCAAGAGGGATCGCAAGACCACATCTCGAACTAACTGAAACTCTGCCTCACTTGGAAGAGAAACTTGAAAAATGAGATCCAGGTCTTTGCATCCCAGCCCATTATCCTTGACCAGGACGTGACCAGCTGCAGAGCCATTCAGTCGGGCATCACGTACCACAATGCCTGCTTCACTCAGCCTACTCCGAACTGTCTGAACAATGTCCTTCAGAGTTATCTTCAGTGTTGGGAAGTTACCTCGTCCATGGATTGGAACCACCTCTGTAAGAACCTCATGCAGACGGCTGACCTGCTCCCAGTTCAGTACACTGCATGACATGCAGTCTGCTGTGTTACTTCCTTTGCCTGCCATCTTAAGGCTTTTCTTCTCCAAAGAAACTGTAGGGAGGTAAAATATAAAAAGAAAAGACAAGTCAGACTTTCTGTTTATGCTTCCTAGGCACATTCCTAGGTTCTGTCTTTCCGTCTATTCACACGGACAAATTAGAAGGAAGTAATTCTGTGTACTAATGATTATCAGCAAGCCTTCCACCTGACATGATACATAGCTTCTCTATTGGTGCAAGCAGAAAAAAAATTTAATTGTCATTGTCTTTGTTTTTTGGCAAGTTAGAGTTACTTCAGAAAAGCACTTTATATGAAATGGAAATTATCAACAAAGATAACACAAAAGCTTTACCCAAGTTTAAAGTCATCTACAACACCAGCTGAAGCCAGATGACCTGCAAAGCACTTTTGAAAGTAAAGCTTTGAAGTTGTTTCATTATACATATAAAGCTCAAATTACTCTCTCCAACTAACACAACAGTAGAAGACACTCAGGTGTTAGTTTCAGGGTTTAGACATCTAGTCCACTGAAAGCACTTAAATTATGCCAGAAATAGAAGATTTCTTCCTTTTCATAAAAGACTTTTCTTTCTGTTCCATCCAGCATCTATGCCTTATAGGATAAAGACCAAGTACATCTTGCTCCTGCAAAAAGCTGCAGCACTTCAGCATCCTGGGCAGAACTTCAGCTGCAAAATCAGGTAACAACATTCAACTTGGACTCTAGTCTTTGTAAGCAACTCTTTACTCTTCTTCAGAGACATTGCCTAACCAAATCACCTCTATGGAAATATTCATACCCGCCTCAACTTTTGCTCATTTGTGAAGGGCAAACAAGTTTATAAGAGTTAGCATTACATTCAGATGGTGTCTATCAAGTTAGTGCTACTCTTTTAACACTGAGAATCTCACTAACCAGACTTGATCACAGCCTTATGTGAACATTTTAAGCACAAGAGAGTGACCTGCTCAGATGTGGCAAGATTCCTCAAGTTGCTTGTCTTTTACATGTAAGCATGTAGATACTTACATATATTCTACAGTCACGAAACTCCAACTGGTATCAATATTCTTTTTTTAAGTGTTCCAGGTTTCTATTGTAGCCAGGTGCTTCCTGACAGCTAAAGACTAATTGAAGCCTCACCTTCTTCTGCCCCAAGTACTTGTGAAGACTGCAGCTGCCAAGGTCAGACTAATCAAACTTAAGCAAATTAACTCTTGCCTACCAAGAATGTTTTAAAACCCAACCATATAGTTTCCTAACATGCAACAACATAGAATATTTTTAAATCAAGTATCAAAGAATAGCTATTGTCATCTCATGCCCCTCCTCTTTCCAGCTTTTAATTTTTGAGCAGCTCACTTGACCTGTCACCACCTCTGCAGGAGAGTCACATCCTAGATCAAATACACAGTAAGGTTAAAATGCTCCTGGGGAACTTTCTTCTGTCCTTGAGTATGAGCTGCTGCATTACGAACTGTGCTGCTTTGGGTTTCATCAGCACCAGCAGGTACAATACAAAACTGTGACTCACAAGATGATTAAACTAGGATAAATCAAAAAGTTCTCCAAGCTCAATCCTTAATGCTCCAACACAGCATAAACCCAAAGGCATCAAGCCTGCCAGAAGTTTCTCAGACACTTCAAGTGCATTAAAGTATATTTCCATTGTAAACTCCCTGTATTTCCATTATATCCTTCAGATCACTAAAGAACACAAAAGTCTTCTAACTAAAGCTGCAAGTGCTTCCAGCTACTACCTCTGAAAATGTTCCTTCTCCTCCTTCCTGATTGTAGCCCTCTCCGCAGCTTAGGCAACACACACAGCTCACCCAGTAACCAGAAAGGACTTGGACCAGTGCTTCCCACCCACACACAGTTAGTTCTGCTTGGTGATCCTCACCTAGGAGAATAACGCACATTGCTGCCCTTGGGGGAGGAAGACAAAGTTCTTTCATTTCCAGTTCAGCAGAGAATTTAATTCTCAAGCAGTCAACCTCCAAAGCCTTCCATCCCCAAATCACTCGCATTTGCCTACTCAGCAAGGTTTAATTAGTGACAACAGTATCTTAGTGACTTCAGTGTATTTGGGATGTTAGTAGTTTACATACTTCTTGTTTCACCACCAACCATTCCCAACATAAGAAAATCTGACACCTAAAGATACTCATTCCCTGGGAATGAAACCACTATGGAAGCAAGAGACACTAAGTATCTTTACCAGTGTAAAGAGTATTAATCAGAGGCAGAAGGAGCAAAGACAACACACCTTCGCCTTTGTCACGATGAGGTGCGTTATTCTGCAGCAGCAATTTGCCACTATAAGACATAACTTGACAGAACACCCAAAAAACTGCAGGCGCCCGTCCCCTCAGGGTCACAGGTCCCCCTCGGACCCCAGAGGCGCTGAGGGCAGGGAGGTCCGGCTCCCTCCGTGGGACGTTCCTCCCTTCACCGGGATTCAACGGAACCCGCGTTCTGCCGTTTTAAATATCAACCACCATTACAAAAGCGTTACCGAGCGCTCGCTCCCAGGAAAGCCCGCACGAAAGTGACCGTAACCCCGCCCGCTCCGCCCCTAGAGGAGCCCGGAGCCCCGCTCACCTCAGCCGCGCCGCGCACCCCGAGCGACCGCGCCAGCCCCGCCACTGCCCGCGCCCGCCCTTTATGGCCCTTTATGGCCGCCCCGCCCCGGCCCGCCCCGCTCGGCCCGGCCCGCCCCGGCCCTCCCGCCGCAGCGGGGGCGGTTCTGGCCGTCGGTCCGGCCGCCGGGCACTCGGCCCGGGGAGCCCCGCGGCGGTCGGGATGGGGAGAGGACGGGGGGGGTCGCCCGCACCCTGGAACCCTCAGTCCCCACCTCAGGGACTCGCCCCTCAGCCTCCCCGCACAGGGGGAAACTTTTCAAGAGCCCCTCAATTCAGGAAGGACATTTGAGGTGCTGGAGGAAGTCCAAAGAAGCGCAGTGCAGCTGTGAAGGGTCTGGAGCACATATCCTATAAGGACCGGCTGAGAGTTGGGGTTGTTTAGCCTGGAGAAGGGGAGGCTCTCTACTACTACCTGAAAGAAGGTTGTAGCCAGGTGGGGGCGGCCTCTTCTCCCAGGCAACGAGTGACAGGATGAGAGGACATAGTCTTATGGTGAGCAAGGGGAAGTTTAGGTTGGACATTAGGAAGAATTTCCTCACAGAAAGGGTGATTAGTCACTGTCCCTGGAGGTGTTTGAGGAAAGACCAGATGTGGCACTTTAGTGCCATGGTCTAGTTGACATGGTGGTGTGCGGTCATAGAGTTGGACTCGATGATCTCAGAGGTCTTTTCCAACCTAATTGATTCTGTGATTCTGAGATTCAGTGGACTATGATGAAGAGCTGACTGAAACACAGCATGGCTTTCCCAAAGGCACCCCATCCCAAACAGAACAACTATCAGCATAGGTCCCAAATGTCCAAGCTCTGCCAAACAGTTCACTGTGGTGCCCCACCAGAAACAGCCAAACTAGGAGTTCATACAGAACCTACAAGGATGTGCTTGCAAGGACATGACAGCGTGCATGTGTTGACACAGTGTGCTACTGGAAATCGCAGTTGATGAGCTGTGGGAGGTTCTGGAGACATGGAGGAGGATGATGAAACAATTGGACAGAAGCAGCTTGGAGATGCGGCATCATAAAAATCGGCTAATGTTCAATAGCGCAAGGTGCAAGATTGTGCACTCTGGGGGCAAAAGTTAGGATTTCTACTGAGAACACAACATTTCAGCAACACGGGGGAGAAAGGACCCAAGGTATTTGCCTTTTGTAGGATAATCAAGACTTGCTGGGGGGCGAGAGGAAGCAAAACTTAACTTAGGATGGCCAGCTGACATAATTCTAGTAGAGTTTTAAAAAGTACTTACAAAGCAATGGCAAAACCACCCCCCTACCACAACATCTGTTACACTGTTTGGTCATGTACAGTCAAGAAAAATGAGTTAAAACCTGCACACACACAGAGAAAAGCTGACCTTGTAAGGGAAAATTGGAAAATTCTTCTTTGCCCAGCAAACAAAACAGACTTGCCTTGCTGCACCAAGAAAGCCAAAGCTGAGCAGAAATATAGGGGTGGGTTAGTTAATTAAATTATTTATTTTTCTGCAATAGCCAACCATTGGGATAAATAACAGGAAACAAAAGGAACTATTTAAGTTGAAGTATAACATTGACACAAGAATCAAGGCAAGTTATAATCTTTTTTGTCAGATGAGATAATCATTAATTCAGAGCATCACAGGACAGAGGGAGTGGAATAAAATTAGTTTCAAGACAGAGCTAGAAAAGAAAATATGTAATATGAGTGTCTGTGATGGTACAGAGCTGGATATGAGGATCCAGATCTCTCTCAATATTTTTTCCCCTGTGTTTCTAAAATTAGACAGAGAAGTAGGGAACTCAAAGAGAAGTAGTACCAGAAATGAGAGAGGCATAACCACCAGTGAGGAAAGTCTCACTTGGAGGTTAAAACAGTGAATAATCTCACCTTTTAAGAATATTTCTTCAGCAAAATTTCTGCATCAAATATTATTTTCTTATGACAATAACTGATGACTTTGAACAGCATATTTTCTGTTGCCCTACAGGCAAACAGCAATTAAATTCCTTTTTGAAAAAAAGTAATTAGATACCAATATAGGCAAAGATAAACTGCAGCACATACTGCTATTACAGATGTTAAAGTGTTAATCAAAGGTTCATATTTTACATTATTTGTTCACAATTTCTTGTTTCACACAAAAAAGTTTGTAAACACAAAGAGGTATTTCAACTCTGTCATAGGGTGTTTTCTGCATCCTCGACTTGCAGACCTTGAGTATCTGTCAGGGGAAGTGCAGCACTCTCTGCAATAAACTTAGACCTCCTGACCATACACTTGTTCTTTCTAATTGCTTTTCATGGGTCCCACAGAAAGGGTCCACGGGGTAGGAATTGGAGATGCCATTAAAGACAGCTGAACCAGACTCCTGGGTAAATTGCCAGATTAATGAGGAATGCATCTCTGAGTAATGAACGCCTGGGAGAATGAGCCCATTTACAACTGATGAGAAGCTGCCTTCTGCTATCCATCCACCTGTGTCTGTGCAGCGGATTACAGTGCTGTGAGGATGGAAAACATGGAAATATACAGCCCACTGCTGAGATGAGAGATTGAAAACCATGGGTTACTGCTCAAGTGTTGCGGCTGCCGAGGTAGCTGACACAGACCCAGACTCAGCTCCAATGTACAATCTTAATGTTCAACTTCTATTTAGGACTGAATTTCCCTCTGCCAGTTGTAACTCCAAGTCTGGGGAGATCCCAATCTTTGCAAGCCATCCTTTCTCTAAGAGTGACTGGGATATAGATAAATTCCTGCTGCAAGACAGTGAGCAGTGGCAGCCACAGTCCCCCCTCTACCCTTGTTCAACTATCATCTCACCCTTCTCTCATAGCTGTTCCATCTTATCTCTGTCTGTGGTCCCAGTGTTTCCTCCCAGCTTCATCCCTCCCCTCCTGTCCTGTGGTGTACCCGTCTTCAGGATACACAGCACTGGACCTGTTTCAAAGAGTTTTCAGAAAGAGGATGGGGAATAAAGAAGGACCAATTGGCTCCTGGGATGGCAGTGTGATGGGGGAAAAGAGTCTGTGAACTGCCAAAACAGAGGCAAGTACAGAGTTTTATTAACACTGTGCAAGTTGTTCATTTTTATCCAGTGAATAGGGCAGCAAATCTGGCAGAAGAAGCCCACTTAAAAGCTTGTAAGTCAGCTCAGTGACCTGGCACTGTCAGATTAGTTTCCTTATGTGATGCATTGCTGAACATAATGTGTCATCATAAATCTTGGTTGCTACAGCTGTTAAAGGCATAAAGTGAAGCAGAGTTATTAATACCCAGTAGTAGTAGCTGTCAGGCTCCATTCTGTAATTGAGCATCAAATCTGCAGTTGGAAAACTCTTCTTTTTTGTCTGACATGTGGAGTAACTGCATGTCTGCAGATGCTTAGAGCGTGGAGACGGTTAGGAACATCCCACCCACACGGGGTTATGATGAAATCTTCCTGCAGAGAATCAAGAGTGAGCTCCTTTCTCTGTTGCTAGCTTCCTCTGTCTTTGAGGTTTCCTGCTGGGAGATGCAGCAATCCTTTCTTCTGATACATGGATGTGGAGTCCAGTATAGATGCACAGACAGTACTAATGGCAGGAAGCAGCAGCCTTTTAAAAATCTGAGGTTAAATTTGCTGCTAGAAGCACCGTGACTTCTGGGAATTCCCTGCTCCAAGGGATGAGATGCTACCATGTGGGACTTCCCAGCTTCCACACAGTTCTGAGCTCAGCAAGAGGTGAGAGACACTCCTTCTCTAAGAGGCAAGAAATGCCACCAGGCTCCTTCACCAGCAGGACTCGTGCAAAGTGGGAGCTCCAAACTCCTGCTCCAATTACATGCGAGGAGGACACAGAGACCCAGAGTTGCTGTCTCTCACATATGTCTTTTTGAAGTTGTCCCCACCCATTAGCCCTTTCACTACTTTGCTGCATGTCACCTCTGGCAACTTGGTCTGTGGGCTGCAGACTCTTCTCAAAAATCCTCTGATATACATTCCCCAAACTGCCTAAAAACCTGAAGGAGCAGAGCCACCCTGCTGTGTGACGAAGTACACAGGCCAAATTTTTCAAGGAGGGAAGAGGTGGTTACATCTCTCCCCAGACCCCGACACTTTTGCTTCTGCAGCAAGAGACTCGGTTTTGCTGATATGGTTGTGCTGTGAGGATGCAGAGTGGGCAGCCCAGAGAAGCCTGGCATTTTCTTTTGCCTTATGAAGCAGCAGGGCAGACACATGCAGAGATGGAATGCACTTGCTGGAGCGAGTGGGCAGCAGCCCATCATCTGACTTGTTTTTTCCTTGCACCTGAGCTCGCCCCAACTGCTTAATTAGTCACACGGTTTCCTGGAACCCAGGGGAGGACAAACCATCAAAATTTTCGGTGGTAGAGGAGATGATGGGAGGGAGGCAGAGGCGGGGGGAGAACAAGCATTTGCTAATCAGACTGAAAAAAATATTTACTCCAATTTGGGAGTCATGAGCAAATTCAGGCCACACCACCTCAGGCTGCAGGTGGTAAACACAACAAAGGGGGGGTACAGAGAAACAGCAAAGACTGTGTAGTGTGAAGCCCTTGGGTACCGATCGGTCTGTGGGCTCTGCCCAATGGATTTTGTACTTTCCCCCACTATAGCTTTTCACTTTGAAATCGCATCTTTTTCACGTTCCTTCTTCATCCATGGCTTTAGGAACCGGTACAGAGAAGTGTAGTGGTCACACAATGGCTATATCAGCCCCTTGGGATTCTGCATCTGCAAGCCCTGCCTGGTTTTCGTTGCAGATGATACTGTTTGTCCCTGCAAATTCACAGATTTGGAGGTTAACAAAGATGATTAACT